AGGAAGTTACAGCATAATCTCTTCTTCCGCTCTGTGGTTCCTCTTCATCTCGTCTCTCGGCTGAGCTGCTGTGGTTGGACCCTCTTCATGTCTGCATCATTCGGAGCAGACTGAGTGTGCTCTAAATTCAGCGTTTAGTTACAGTCCTGCTGTCTGTCTGTTGGAATGTCTGTGATGGTTAGATGTGAAGTCCCTTTCGGTTTAGAGGGAATATCATCAACTTTGACTCAGACTCTCATTTTTATCCCTGGCTGAAGTTTAATAACTGTGCTGATGCTTGAACACCTGATGTAGGAACATATCAGTCTGTGTTTAAGGTCTGTGTGACTGATGAAGGCCATGTGTGTGTTACCAAAGCAAAATATCTGAACATTTAATCGAAGTATAAGTTGTTTGACTTGTTTCTGTTACTGTATTAAACCCCCTCCTCTGTCCTCATGCAGGCGGGGGTGTGTGGTTGTGAGGAGGGCTACACTGAGGTGATGACGTCCGATGGCCTGCTGGACCAGTGCACCCTTATCCCTGTACTGGAGATCCCCACAGCAGGAGACAACAAGGCCGATGTCAAGACCATCCGAGCCTTCAGCCCCATCCAGCCTGAAGCCAGCTCACCGGGCAGGGCGGGACGCACCTGGTTCCTGCAGCCTTTTGGCCCAGGTAACTCACCTGAATACAGTCTGTGGTACACAAAAACTTAACTGTGATTTTTATCCATCAGAGGGACATTAAACGAGTTTCAAAATGAAGATCAGAAACAATCAAGTTCAACCAATGAGTAGCTTGTAAATAATTATCATTACTCATGATAACAAATGAGTAATAAATCTACAGAGGTGTTAGTGTAACATGAGGAGAAAAGAAGAGTAAGAATGAAAAGGAGAAAGAAAAAAGACAAGAAGAAACAAAAGAGGGATGGGAGGACAAAGGGAAAGAAGGAAGGAAGGAAGGAAGGAAGGAAGAGAGAAAGGTAAAGGACAGTGTGGAAAGAAAATACAAAAGTAAAGAAATGATAAGAAAAAGAAAGACAAAAACAAGGAAGATAAAAAGAAAGTGAAAAGAAGAAAGGACGAGGTAACAGAAAAGAAGAAAAACATGAAGGAACAGGATGGAAAGATTGAAAAGAAGAAATGAAAAGATAAAGCAAGAAAGAAAGAAAAGATGAAAGAAGAAAAGGAAAGAAGAAAGAAAAGAGGTATTAATGAAGCAAGAGAAGAGAAAACGAAGCATGAAAGCAAATGAAAGACAGGATGAAAGAAAAAAATAAAAGAAACAAAGAAAGAGGAAAGAAAAAGAAAGGAAGGAAGAATGAACAAAGAAAGGAAGGAGGGAAAGTAAAAAAAGAAAGATTGAAAGAAAAAGGAAAGGAGGGAAGAAAAGGTTAGCAATGCTGACAAAAGGAAGAAAGAAAGACAGGGATGGAGAAAAGACAAGGAATAGAAGAAGACAACAAAAGAAAGAAAAAAGAAAAACAACTGATGAATGAAAAACAAGGAATTTGAAGAATTCAAAGAAAAAGGTAGAGAGAGTGAGCAAAAGTCAAAACAATAAAAATAAAATGAAAGAATAAATTGGGAAAAAATAAATAAACAAAGAAAGAAAAAGTTCAAAAGGTGACAAAACAGTCAGGAAGGTAAAGTTTTTAATGACTTTATTTTTAAAGAACTTTGAATTTTTGTCATTTGCATGTTTATTTTTTTCTTTTTATTATTTTTTTACATCTCTGTGTTCAAAATATTTAGAAGCTTTATTACCACAGTTTGTTGTCTAGTCTGCCCACATGAGTATAGATAGGTTAAATCACTTAATATAGTGGATCAACAGTGGATCAACAATAAGTGTGTGTGTGTCTCTCTCTCTCCCTGTGCAGATGGGAAGCTGAAGACCTGGGTGTACGGAGTAGCAGCAGGGGCCTTTGTTCTGCTGGTCTTTATAATCTCCATGACGTACCTAGCATGGTAACGTAGCAGCAGCAGTAACTTACACGTCTTCACTGTGTGTCTGTGTTCATTCATGATTTGGGTTTGAGTTTGTTTTAAAGTCTCTCACCTGTTTCTGACGTAAATGAGGTCTGGAAAAAAACAAGTGACAAAAATGAATCAGAGTAAGAATTGACAAAATGAACAACTGTTGTGACTGCAGTATTGTGACCTGCTGCTCAACTTTAACTCTGGTCCACACAGTAGAGTGCAAAGGTTACATGACAGCCGTTAGAGCCTCAGTGCTGGAGGCTGAAGCAGTCTTTCCCAAACCCTCCTGACCTTTCACTCCTGTCAGAAAGGGGGATTTGACATCCAGTGACCTCCTTTACACCTCTACTCACGTTCATTCACCTCCTCATTTTGTTTCATTTTCCATTGGACTTTGTGTTCCCCTCATCTTTGTCAGTTCATTTGTTGTTTTTCTGTCTCCCCCACCCCCTTCACACTCCCCCTCAGTTATTGTGGTTGTTGCCTTTGCTGCAAGTCGAGCTCCAGTCCCCCTCCAGACGGGGTTTACTGGGTGGACCCAAACAGCTACACTGTGCCTTACATCTGCCCCGCCTGCCAGAAAATAGAGCAAGAAAAGTTACAGCAGCACGGCCACCTCCACCTCCACCACCAACATCTTCACCATCCCCATCAGCAGCAGCAGCAGTATGTTGCTCTGCTCCAGCAGCCTCCGCCATCACAACTGCAGCCCCAGCAGGAGCCGCAATCTCAACCTCCTCCTCCTCCTCCTTCTCACTTTGAAACTCTCATCACATAGTCAGGGCCTCAGCACAGCCTCTGTAACTCTGTGTGCCTCACATTCACTGTGCCCAAACACATCCAGTGCCTGTGCATGCACGTCAGTGGATCACTTCCTGGAGGTGAGCTGTCCTAAAACACAACAATGCAGCCTGTTGAAGCAAAAACAAAAGTATAGATCGGGCTGCTTTAATCTCAATGTATCTGCAGCATTTGTCAAAGGAGGATTCTACTTTAATTGTGGACTGCAAGCACAAAGGTAGTTAGTTGTTCAGTTGCTGCTACTGCAACTAAAAGCACAAAAGCAGCGATAAAAAAACATCAGTTCTCATAAACAATGTTGCCTTTAGTTTTATATCAGCTTTGACTGAAGTTAATTTGAACTTGCAAAAACCTACAGAGTGCAATTTTATTTACCCCCCCAGACCACAAACTCTAACAGAAAAATCCCAAAGAGTTAAAGACTCTGACTGTGAGGTACTTTAATTGGTAAAAAGATGTTAGACACGGCTTCACCACCTCTGAGGTAAGCTTTGATTTGTTCCTCTGCTGCCATCTTGTGTTCATTTGTGCACGCTTCATGTTTCTGTTCTCATGAGTTTGAGTTTGTGAATGAGTCCACTTATCAAACATGTTATTCACATTTTTACACATGCTGTCAATATAAACAGTCCCTGACAATAATTTATATGAGGTTTTATGATATTTACAGAATAGTGGAAGCCTTTGGATGATACTGTTACAACCCTGTGGGTCTAGGGGAAAAGGGAAGCAACATAAGGCAACAAAGGAGTCGATGGCAGGGCAAAATTATTTATTGTGAAATACTCAAGCCAAAGGGAAAAAATAAAATAAAATAAACATGAACCACAGCAACGAGCAGAGCGGGAGGTAAGCTAGAACAAAGAGGTCTCAATCAAAGGGGTGAGGGCAGTGGGTGGCACCAAATCAACAAACAGTCAAAACCGAAACTTTTACCTATCTTGCAGGTCCTTATCTAATTTAGATAAACTGAAAGTGAACCAAATCCACCTGCTTAACTAACCTGAGCTTACCTGTCAAACGAAAATACAATCGAGGTTCCACCCATAACAAAAAAATCAAACAAGGGAGGACTACCTCTTAAACCCAAAAGAAACCACAGGAAACAAAACTGAACTCCTCGTGCCCAAAAAAAATCACCCCGATCCCTTACTAGTGTCTCAGGTTATCTAGGTAACAACATAACAAAATACCAATGCTACCGTACACAAGCCAAATCTAATTAAGCTGCCTACCCTCTGAAGTTTTTCGCTCACTCCTATCATTTCTGGAGCAGACGTCCTGTCTTCAATAGTTTAAGATATCACCTGAATGTTTAAAATACTTGATTCTGATTGGTCTAAACCCCTTGACAACCACTTCACAACAGTTACTAACTTTGCATGAGACAGGCAGATCTGCAGAGAATAGTTCTGGAACATTTTACTCTGGCCTTTTGACCCTGTGCGTTTTCAAACTAAACAATACAGATGTTTAAATAACAGATCCTGTTTCCTGACATTTCCAATTAGTACAAAACAATTATGAGCCGTAGTGATGTGAATTAAGAAGAAGAAGAAGGGCAGCTGAATGAAGGCAAAAGTTCAAACTTCTTGCAGAAGACTTGTTCAGTCTACATACTAAGTAAGAAGGTTGAAAATGTCACAACAGAGGTATCGACTCCAATTAAAAATGTTTTGCAAATGATTTAACATGACCTCCTTGAGGCAGTTCAAGTTTTAAATTGGAAAGAAGAAGAATCGTCACAGAGATTAGAAAAAGAAAATAAAAACATTGAAAATCATCAAAAGGAAACAGCTGAAATTAAATTGACAGAATTTCTCTTATTAGTTCTGTATCCAAATTACCAGCCGACCAGATAAAGCAAAGTTGATCAATTTTCAGGGTTGAATTTGATGCCCCGAGCTAATAAAAATCAAAACATAAATCTGTTCAGTGTAAGTCAATTAAAGGAAAAACAGAACAGACCGAGCAGAGCTGTGTTTGGAAGGTAATGATGCAGTTTTCTGAGTTTTCTTTTTTTTTTTTCCTTCTACAGCAAAAAGCCAAAGAGGCCGCAACGACGGCAAATGAACAACCGACTGAAGCCACTGACTCTGGCTTACGACGGAGACGCCGACATGTAGAAGTCTTCCTGCTGACCACGATGACCTAGAGACACTCGTCCTCCTGCGGGACACACCGGGTTTCCATGGAAACCTGATTGATGTCAGGGCTGCCGCTGGGCATCGTTCAACCTCCAGGTGGACTTGCTGAAAGATGAATCTGCCAGAAAGAGAACCTCACAGATCTACACGCTGAACCCATGTCCATTCGCAGCCTTGATGTTCCCGTCCTCTTTTCTATGATTTTTTGATATTCTTTCACGAGAGCCTTCATGAATTCTTCGTCTTCTTCTGGACGTCTGCCTTTGCTTCTCTGCCATCTTAAACTGCCGCTAACATCCAAACCCTGGATGCTGGAGAGGGTCACATTGATTTTGCGCTGAAAGCACAATTCTTCTGTTTCTTCTTTTTGTCTGGGCTGAACTGGATCATCCCTGTAAAACTTTCTCCATCCTTCAACCCATGAAGAACGTTGAAATTCCTCCTGACGTGGTCTGAGTTCATCTCGCAGGAAAAGATCGACCCATTGAAGAGAAGCGACCCTCCGAGCCGCCGTCACCTCTGCCTGCCTCTCCTTCCTCCGTTTTTCAGGCATAATCTTTGCACTATATTAGTGCAGCATGATACTATGTACTTACGTCTAGCTTTGCCATAGGAAACTGCCTCTCTCAATACAAGATGGTGTACAGTCTTGTGCTAGAAATGTAAAAAAGTAGACTTTTTCTGCAAAAGAACTCACTGATCTTTGTTAATATTTTCTCTTATTACCTCTTCAGTGTGAAACAATGGGACACAATGTAAATAGGACTTTTTCTGTCTTCTTAACTTTACCTTTCTAGTCTGTACAGCTGCGAGTCCCAAACTCTGCCTGAATTGATTGATTCTCTGATGTTTTTTTGACTGTGGCTTAAGATCATTTTACGTTTGTAAATTATTGATATACATCACTGTCATTGACACAAACAGCAGGAGACACACGGGGTCCCGGTGTGTTAAGAAACTCTTCAGCTGTGAGACAGGAAAAGACTGACCTGGGTGAAGGTCTAAAAAGTCCAAAAACTCTCCAACGCCTCACTCTGCAAATGTGTTAATTTTAGATCTCTTCATCCCTTTTCCTGGGCGAAGGATGGATCAACAAGAATTAGCATATTTACCCATTTATTCCTTATTTTTACTCAATATTTAAACAGACTTTCCCTCGCCTCATGACTGATTTATTACTGAGCAGTGTCTCCTCGCCTTGAGTCAGGTCCAGAGCTGAGGTTATCTTCCCCCCAGCCTCCAACCTGTCAAACTAACCTAAATTAAATCCTCAAATATCATAGTAAAATAATAAACAGATATTTAGTTTATGAGCCAGTTTTACTGAAATGAAAAATTGTCACTGTTCGAACTATAATGTCTTGTAGGAATACTTGGCCGATCATCTCAAACCCTAACCCCAACACTCCAGAGGACTGAGAGGACGATCTCTAATCTGTCTTTTAGAGCGGGACACATTTGAAAAGCATTGGTACCTGATGACCAGAGCTGAGGACAGTTTGGAGGTTGCGCTGAAAAACACTTTTATCCATGTTTTGTCTTATTTCTAGAGAAAATGCTTTAGTAGGAGCCCTGTTTACCTGACAAGTCCAGTATAAAGTCTTTTGTTTTTGTGATATTACACAACAAAAAATAAGACCCGAAACTTCTTAAATGAGTAAAGAAAACGAAAGAAAAAATCTCCATTACAAGTTCATGGAAATAAGACAAGGTCTCATTTCAGGAACTTAAAGATTTATTTATTTATTTATTTATTTTTTATATAATCAATCCAGCTGTTAGTTTTTCATGTTACATTGAGCAATAAGACATCTTTCTGGCTCAACTGAACTCTAATCAGATATTTTCAGCTCGAGAACGAAGACAAAAACACTCGTTTAGATTGGAGTTTTTTAGTGTGTTGGACTTAAGGTGAAACATTGGACAGAACGTTTCTAAGATAAAAACTGTTGTAAGATAACATGTTAATAGATTATAACCAGCAAGTTTGTTGAGCATGCTTTGATGTCACTTTTGTCAGACTGAACCCACTCTTTGTTTCGTTTCCTTCCAAGCTAGGAAGAGTTTGGTGACAGAGATTTGTTTTTTGTTAATCCATCGGCTCTGCAGTTAGAACTGTAAATCATCCATCGAGGAACCAAACTGTCCTCCTGTTTCACAGCTGAGAGTTTGAACCAACCTGCAGGATTTCACCTGTTTCAGGTACCATCACCCATACTGGTGTTTAATGGCATCTATCTAAGTGAACTTTGACCCCATATGTCCAGAGAGAGCTGACCAGTGAGGGGTGGTCTCTCTGTCTTAAAGAGCTTTCAGCCATCAGCCGTCTGTTTCACTGTAAAGGCTGTTTCAAGTTATTTGAGCAGAAGTTTCTGGATCCAGATCAGGAGGATTATTGTGAGGAAATGAATCTGTCTTATTGAAGCTACGGGGGCAGTCGCCCTCAGTGAACAGGCTTTTCTTTATCACTCCGAGACATCGTATCATTGCCAGAGGACGGCAGTTTAATATTCTGTGGAGTTTGTTGCTAGTAAGTTAATGGAATGTTTATTTTATATTTCTTGGACTATGAGTTGTAAATAAAGTGCTAAACATTTTTTTTTTATTTATTGTTCATGTACCATAACGTGTTTCCTTTTTTTACCGCACATGTTGTTGTGCAAAAAGAATAAAACCAATAAAAAAGTGGAGGTGTGAATGTGGGTGTGCCCAAAGCGATGTTGATACCGTGAAAAACAAAGTCGCTGATGAATTCTGTCCTTTTCCTACTGTTTGTTTATATGTATTTGACTAATTGCTGATAATAAACAAGGAAATATTTCGGAGTGATGTCTCTTATTATTGATTCATTTTCTCAAATAAATATTTATATGACTGGGTATGAAAAGGACATTCAGAGAGGCTGAGTCTCTCAGGAGGAAAGATGTGAGGAGGTTCACCACTCTGTGAGAGACTGTGTGAGCTCATGGTTCAACAGTTTCAGAATAATGTTCCTGAGTGTCAAATGTGAAAGAATGAGTGGATTTTATCATCTACAGAAGATCATATCATTCAAAGATTCAGAGAATCTGGAGAAATCTCTGAACTAAAGGGACAAGAACCAAAACCAAGACTGATGGTCCTGATCTTCAGGCCCTCAGGCAGTACTGCATTAAAAACAGACCGGACTCTGGAGTGGAAATCACTGCATGGACTATAAATCACATTAAACAGCTGTCTGTGAACACAGTTCATCATTGTATCCACAGATGAGGTTAAAACTGAACCATGAAAGAGGACATTATTTTTAGGAATCAAGGATGTTGCCTCCTCCTCTCTAAAGACTAGAGGGACCACCTGACTTGTTCTCAGCTCCTAGTCCAAAGCCAGCATCCCTGATGGTATGGGGATTATCAGAGTCCATGTCATGGGTATCTTCCACATCTGTGAAGGCTCCATTAATGCTGAACAATATCTCCATGTTTAGGAGCAACATCTGCTGACATCCAGACAAAGACTTTTTCAGTGAAGACCTTCATATTTCAGTAAGACAATGACAAACCACATTCTGACAACAGGGATTACAACATCATGGCTCTGTAGGAGAAGAGTCCTGCTGAGAAATTTTCTGACTGCAGTCCTGACTTGTTGAAAACATTTGGAGCATTATGACACTAAAAACAGGACAGGGGAGACCCTGAACTGTTGAGCAGCTGAAATCCTGTATCAGGCAAGAACGGGACAACATTTGACTTTCAGACTCCAGAACCTGGTCTGCTGGGTACTGAGAAAAGAAGAGTTGATGGTTTATGATAAGAAAAATGAACCTGGAGCTAGTTTTTACAAACTTGTTGCTAACATCACTTTATAAAGTTCCCTAAAGCATAAAAAAGTGCTGACTGAACATCAAGACGACCTGTCCTTGAATAACAACTCTATTGATGCATCCTCACCCAGACTGTGATCTAGTGTCAATATGAACTCTTCTGGATTATTGAAAGCTTTCATTCTGATATTTTTGCATGATTCTGCAGAGACTTTATACCAGGATTGACATTCTGGATTTAGATCGTTGGCATATTGCACATGCGTCAGTATAAAATACAGACCAGTTATTCTGTATCTGTGAAACTTGTGAAGGCAAGTGTATGAGATGATAGACATACGTGCAGCAGTGTCAAGGCATTTGAAAATGTATCTATAGCTTGGACAAGATGATGCTTTCAGCAGGACGAGATGTCACACCCCTAATCTGTTAAAGAACTTTGTAAATGTCTGTTTTTAAAGGCGGATAAATACAGTTATTATAATTATTACAACTCACCACCAGAGGTCAGTGTAAGACAGCTAAAGGTGGAGGATTTCCTGCTTTGGTCCATTTAGTTTTTAACTGATTCTGCATCACAGTGAACATTTAAAACCTCAACAAACATAACAAGACGGTATTTTTATCTTGTTTTTTTTTTTTTTATAGGAGGAGATTCTCTACAATCAGGTTTAAATTTTTGGTACTCAGATTTTGTCCATAAAAAAAGAGGTAAAAGGTCAATAAGATTTGAGTCCTCTTAAAGACAGAGAGAAGTCTGTAGCTGAAGTGGGCTGGGTCAGAACAAATTAACCTCTGTCATAAGGAGCGGGTACAGAAATGTGTCTGAAGGCTTGAAAACACTGCTGTTCAGCTCTTGGGTTTGATTTAGGAGGTGGTGGATATGTGCGTTATTTTGTGAAACAGTGTGCGTTTTTGTCCACAGATAGATCCTGAAGGCACCAGTTCGACCCTAACACAGTCATGAAGATACACAGTTTGGTGTAATTGTTCTCTTCCTCCACTGGTTAAATTGTTGTCCTCTGTTGTTGCAGTAATGTAATTGCTTTTATCATCAGAGCGCCTGATTATGATCGGATGTTGGGAAGTAAAACAGAGACAGGCTGCATGGTTTTGGTCCCCTCATTTAATCAGCACTTCACGTAATCATGTCTCCGTCTTCAATTAAATCCCCTCTGCCAAGAAAAGGAAGTCCTGCAGGCCGCACTAATCAATTAAGGGATGTTGTGAAACCCACTTCAAACCAGTGACTTTGCCACAACCTCAGAGACATCAAGATGTGCCGAGAAAAAAAATGAGATTAAGGAGGTCAAACAGTAAAGATCATCGATGCAGCGCTCTTTGTTTCTAAGTTCTTTCCCCCCCGAGAACAAAGATAAAGATGTCTGCTTTAACTGATGATCTCCTGCTGATAAAATAAAGCACTGCCTCAATCAAGGAAAGTGGTGGTCTGTCTTCAAAAAGCCTTATAGAAAAAAAAGCAGCAACTCCTGAAGTCTGCAAGAGAGGAAAACCACAAGACCAGCCTCATTCATGTTTTATACCCTCATCAAATACTGTACAGAGCCTGTGACAAAATAAGAATGACCTGATGAGCATCAATCCTACACTTTAACAAGTGGTCATTCCAATGACGAGCTTTAAAGCTATCAGATGAATTAAAAAATGTCAAATATTTTATAACATTTTGTGGGATTCCTGAAGAGATATTATGAAGAAACATTATGAGAGATGTCAGACTAGAAATA